ATTTTCCCTTTAAGGAACAGATGGAGATGGAAAAATTTTAACCTATAAGATGGATTAACATGTGCAGGTTTTTTTCCCCAGCCACTCTTTTCTGCATATCCATTGACTTGCCTTGCTACAGAGAATTTCACTAAATGTCACTGGCTCTGTTGCCCGCTTTCCCAAGCTCTATCAATGGATTTTTTAAAGATGTTTCCATGCGTGGACTTTGCTTTTTCCTCATATACCAATCCCAGTGGAGGCAGAACATCATACTATGCTATTGCATGTCAATCGATATGATGATCATGTTCCTGTGTCAGCCAAAGGAAAAAAAAAGGGTGCTTGTAAGGCCCTGTAGGCATTAAAAAAAATGCAGAACGTGTTCACCAGCAAAGGGGAGTCAGGTTTATAGCTATCCTAAAGGTATAAAATATTTTATTACCAATACACATGTGCAGACATTCTAGAATTTACTTGATTCCAAAATAAAAAGTTACAGCATATTATCATAATAGCAAAAGAAATTAACTATGATTCAATCAGCAAAAGAAAGGAAATCCGGGATCAGAGATCACCCCCTCCCCACTGTCTGTCACAACAGGTTACCATGCTTAATTTTACCCAACTATGTCATATTGTGACCAAGCATCGGAGGCTTGATCCTTAACTTTGAAGTTTTTCTCTTTTGTGAAAGTAAGCCAGAACCACAAAATTTTTGAAATTGCAGTGCTTGACTGAATTGAATGTAGTTTTTCTCTGTGAAAGTAAAATCAAACAGAAAGCTCTCCCCCTTCCAGGGGATGGTTTTTAAATCGTCTTTGACCCTGCTCTTCATATTTGCATCGGCTCTGGTTATTTGATTAAAACTGTAGAAAATGTAATTCAAACTATTCTTTTTAAAAGACAAAAAGGGAAAGTGATTCCCCCCACCCCCCCCAAATATCTCTTGCCTTTTTTTATAAATGCCTTCCAGATTTGGCTTGGCATTCTTACGTATTTCAGGATTATCTGAAAAATAATTCAACTAATACTTTATCTTGACCCTACTTTAGTATTTTGATGTATCAGTATTAACTGATTTGAAGTGTTAAATCAGTTTTTAGGAATATTTGATACAAAATAGGGGGTTTGGAAATCAAAATCAAATAAGTATATACACACACGTGTATGTATGTATATACTTACAAATGCGAATGTAGCCCACTGAAATTAATCCTAAAAACGTAATGTCTTCAACTAGCCACATACAGTAAACACGTCAGTCATTACTTTAAAATTCTATTGACCTTAGTGATAACTTTTCCTGAATAAAGGATATTGACTCTAGCCACACTGAAACTTAGTGAGTTTAACAAAGTATTTTAATATAGCAATGGCTAAATTCAAGAGAGCTTCACAGAGGGAGGTTTCAGTGGCTAATATGAAGGGAGGAAGTTTTCATATCAATAAATATGGTGGCATCTGACAGGTAAAATGTTGTAATAGTCCTTGGGGTGCTACTTCCCTCCCACTAATGTGTTGGACAGTTTAGATAAACACCATATGCCTGTCCGTAGAAGGAGTTGGAAACCAATGTAAATAGAGAGAGAGAGTTTCCTTGTTTTCCCTATATTCCCTCTATCCCTGGGCTAAGGGTTAGTGGTATGTACAGAGTAATGGAAGAAGGAAAGAGCCCCAGGGAAAAGGTGGAAGCAAAGAGTCAAAAAACTGAAGTGAGGAAGAAAGGAAAGGTAGAGAAAGTGTTGTGAAGAAATTATGTGAAATAGGGGGCAGATTAAATAGACTAGGGAATTGTCCAGTGATGCTGACGAGATGGTGGTGTTCAAAAGTGATAGCAATAAGAAAGAGGAACAACTCTTATGGAGATGTGGTAAAGCAAACTGTAAAGATGAATTATCTACACGTCTAGAGATACACAGGTAATGACAACAGCACAGGAAGGAGATCTGGAGCGAAAGGAAAAGAATCAGGCTATCATGCGTTATTACTCAGAGTTAGCCAGAATTAGGACCTACATGCCACCCTGCTCCTATTGCTGTGCCACTATGTGAGGCACAGTAAGGGAAAAGAAGGGAAGTAAACAACTTCGCTTTTAAGTCTACATGTCATCTTTAATCCAAGCTTCAGTCCAGTTCTTCAGCTCCTTCTTAGCTCTAACTGGACAGTCTAGCTTAGCTGGTCATGGTGCAGATAAGCCTGCAACCTCTTCAGAGAACAGCAGGTATATTTAGGTAAGCTGCTGCAGTTGCTTTCTGATGAATTGAGGCTTTTATTCTCCCCCATATCCTCTTCAAGTTCTCTTCTGAACTCACCTTGCTTTCCCCTTATGTGGGGATTGTGCTCCTGATGCTGAGCCAGACTGCCCACACTTCACCCTGTCCACAGCGTTTCTCTAGTGTGGGCGCTAACAGCAGTCCATGGCAATGATTTATTTTAAACTAGGTTTATAAACTGGCGTTCTCTTTTCCCTTGGGAAATATTTGCAGATAGAGATTGTTATGTAGCATCTGTAGTTTCCAAGTATCCATATGTAGGATGAATTAGTCAAAATTTATTCTGTGACTCTGAGTTTACACTTGGCAGAAAAGATTGTTTACTTATTTGTAGCACTATAGCAAGACCTTTACCCTATTGTTTGCAAGCTTTAGCCAGCAGATGAGAAATAGAAACGACTTCAAATTAATACTTGAACCAAGCTCATTTATGACTGAATTAAATTACAGCTTCAGAAGTAAATGTCAGAATTTGCTTCCACTGTGCTTCATTGTCACTGCTGTATTAAAATTTATGGTATTAAAGGCTATCCATTTAGACACACATAGCTCTCTGTCAGCAGACAGTAACTGAGTTACACGGACACGTCCTGAGATTCAGATGGAACTCCAGAAAATCAGCTCCAAACAGTTTTTATGAATTGGTTTCTTTAGATACAGGGCAGTGATGAGTGCTCCATTATACCAGAGGCAAAGATGTTTCTGTGGGAAAAAAAAAAAAGAAATATAAACACAAATGGATAGCCCGTTTTCTACATGGGCAGAAGTACAAAGTTTGCTTATACTGTTTTTCAGGAAAAGTCCTGGGCTAGTCTGTCATTTGTGAAAATGGTTCTATCTTTATTCCTTATGGGTTTTGTATTTAAGAACCTAGGACTAACACCAATATTCTTTTTCAGCCTTTAATGAAGAAACATGTTCCTACCAAAGGAGAACGCTGGAGTAAATAGAACCAAAGTAAACAAATATTTGCAAGTCACCATGTTGGTTCTGTTATTAAAGAAAATACGGCCCAGAAGCATTCCAGACAGATTCATCGCAGTCCATGTCTGGTAAAATAATGACAAAATACTCCTAGTTACTCAGTTAATAATGCCAGAATTAAAACTAAACATTACTCAACAAATAGCTAGCTGAATCTATGGTGTGTCAGTGACAGCTATAGTAAAAATTAGAAATACTATGGGTTTTGGTGGTTGGATGGTTGGTTTTTTCCCGTTTCAGAGAATTCCCAATGTGTGTTTAATTAGAGGGAATCCAGTTTTCAAAAATCATGGGACAGTTCTGTGTAATCAGTCTGTTGCTGCCTGGTCCTCTGGTGCCAGCAGGAGGTAAGCATTAAAGCTGGGTCTGTATCCCAGGGCCTCAAACCCTCACGCAGGGGACAGCTTCAAATCCAACATTGCAGGTTTTCCTGGAGAAAAGGTATCTTCAAAATAAAAAATGTTTAGTAGACTGTAAATGAGAAAGTCCAAATAATGGTCAAAAATGCTGAACTGCACGGCTTATGTGAAAAGAATTGTAAGAACTGTAAGATTGTCCTGGAGGGATTCAATATTTTATCTTAATCCTTGCTTAGATAAAATGGGCTTCCAAGAGTTTGGCTTCAGTTCTAAACTAGCAGTGAAACAGACAGAAAGAAGAGAGGAGAAGGGAAGTGCTTTCTAGCAAATTTCCATAAAGCTGCCTTACGAAACTGTGCAGTGACATAGCAAGCCACATTATCAAGTTAAGCACCTGGGTCAGCTTCGTGTCTGCAAGGTTTCCATCTGAAGGCAACTTGCTCTTATTTTGATTTCTGTGTTTCTGAAGCTAGTGGGACCGTTTCTTAGACAGTGCATAGAGTAAGGGAAACTGCATGAACTCTGTAGCTGTTCTGCTCGTGAAAGTTTCACAGAGCATGGAGGCTTGCCTGAAAACACAAATAGCAGTTATGAAAATTATTCACATTCAAACAATGAATATTTCAGGAAATGCTAAGAGATTTGCATCATAATCATACATAAATTAATTTGGAATAGGTAAAAACAAAAGAGGCTCCATTCTAAATTTCAATCCATTTTACTTGTTTTACTCTTGTTTAAATTATTCTTGCTCTACAGCCACAAGTCTTCAATGCCTATGTAGAAACCAAGGGAAAAAACATTAGACTGCAGACAGGTATAGGACTCCAGGCCGGAGGTTCTCAAGCAAAGTAAATACCAATATCAAATCAGAGTTGATATCTCTTTGTTTAGTATATGCATAGATAATGTTTCCAAGTGAGAATTTATATCCCGCAGTCTGAAACAATGATTTTGATCCCAGTGACTGTTAGGCTATGACACAGTTTGTCCACCAAATAATGTTATTTTGTTAAAGATTAACAGATATACACCCATACAGAAAGCAAAGAAACTGTACTTAATAGATCATTTCAATAATAAAAGAATTAAAGAATATAACCAAGATCTTTTTTATAGGAGTGGTCCAATTTATATCAATGGAATAATTTGCTATGATAAGAGTTTAGAGGATCAAGTCTGTATAACAGCCATCTGTGCTCCTTAGGTGTTATCCTCAGATGACATTATTTTCTAGCAACAGAGAGATAATGCCACGTTGACAGGTAACCCAACCTGTTTCCAAACAGCATGCCAAGTCACTGGTTGCTTGGGTATGATATTTGACTGCAGTTGCTTTCACACTTTGATTTATTCTGCTACTCTCACCAGTGCCCTATTTCCCCTGTGCAAATTCCTGCAGACACATTAGCATGGAGACAGTCACATTGCTTGTCCACTTGTCACAGCTGAACTCTAAGCTATTCAGCCAACACCCTGAGACTGACCCCAACAAGGTGGTGGCTCTACATGCTACCTCCTGCATTGAAAACATGGTAAGAAGACCCTTACTGTTGTAACAGTTACTACAGCAGACACCACAAAATTGCTAATTGTTACTGTGAAACTGTATCCTATTAAGACACCAAATGTTGAGCCTTCTGCAAATGTTTAAAAGATATGCAAAATAACCTTCACTGCAGTATATTACTGCTATTCTTATACTTAATAAATTAATCAATTTTACAGATTTTCCCTAACAAATGTTCAAAGGGAGTCTAAGACCAGACTGCAGGATTTGGCATTTCCGGAAGCCACAAGTAACACTGTCTTTTTTTAGGCAGTATTCAAAATCTATAACCTGTTTCTGATCAAATTACAATGCAGTTAAGGATTTTTTTTTTTTGCCAGACACAATGTGTCAAGCTTTATTTTAGTTGTATTTTTTAATAGTTGAACTTGCAATTCAGAGAGGCTTTTTCTTAAAACTACATTTTCTTACAACCCCTCCCTTTCAAAATGACAGCATAGGGAGAAGGTAAGAAAGCTTAACAGCAACATTTGTAAAAACATATTTGGAATCAGCATCATAGAATCTGACTTGTTGGATGTCTTTGCTAAAGACAGGTTTCCCCAAGAACCTGGGCAGGGAATTAGATTTCTAGAAAAGGGTACCATAGGGAATAGATAAGAAATGAGATGCCAACAGATGGAGAAGGGCTCAGGCACTTGTGTATTTCTTTCCCCAAGGGCTTCTCAGATGTGAACTTTCTCATGAAGTTGCACAGTGATGTGATGGGAGGGGATTTCAAAATAATCAACAGATTCATTTCAGTCAGAGCAAGATGTTACTTCCCAGCTGAGTACCCCAGGCACCTGGTAACTGGCTGTCCTGGACTGAGGCAGGCTGTTTTCCTTCTAGGACATTTCAACCTCATCTGAACAGCAGGTGGCACTGAATCAGATAAAGAAGCATCACCGACCTATTTGGTAAGCATCAAGACACTCCCTGGTGTCTGGGAAACTGAGATTCAAATTTCTGTTCCAGAGTGGAGTGGAGAATGTACAGCACACAGAAAATGAGAGAGGTAAACAGTGAGGAGCCAACTCCAGCCACTCAGGAGCTGCAGCTTGAGTCAGGGTACCTAGAAGTTAACTGATGATCAGCTTTAAAGCCTGGGGACCACAAGTTAAAAAACAGATGTACAGGCTTATCTGTGTAGATGTACCGTGAACCCTCATCTCTTGCAGGAAGATTCCTGCTGGTTCCCAAAGTGTCTTAAAGGAAAAGGTTCATCAAGGACTGGAAGCAACCAAGGTGAGTCTAGAGGAAAAAGACTTCACCTGGTGCAAATCTGTTCAGTCAACTCTAGCCAACGTGCCTACCAAATTGCAAGACAAATATAGGGAGAAATATGGTGAATAGTTTCTGGATTATGTGTAGTGGCACTATAATATCATAATGGTATTTCAAGTAGTTTCTGAATAACATAAAGTTATCACATAAAACTGTTGCTTTAAATCGTCACAATTTAGCATTTTAACATTCTTTCTATTGCCTCCCATGAATGATGTGATGCAGAACAGGACCTGCTGTTGGAAGGAGATAACTCAAATGCTGTGCATGCACATTGAAACTGATCTTTCACTGTCACATCTCTGTGGTACACAAGAAGGAAATAAACCACCAGGAAACAGTAACACTGACTTTCAAAAGACAAAATGCAGCACGAAGCCATAAGGCTTTTGCTAGGATTGGATAAGCTTGGATCTAGAGCTGTGTGAAGCTCACAGCTTTAGTTTACCTATGCTTCAGCAAATTTTGCCAGTAGGCTGTTTTGCTTTGCTTGATTTCCCACCAATAAATTTCAGACTTATGTGTGCTGGAAAATCAGAGCTGGTGCTGAACTTAGGCAAATTTCGCTTTTCCCTCGCACATTACCAACACACAGTTAATCTCCTGCTGTCTCTGACAGCGTAGGGGAATAGTAGTATCACATATGCTCAGAATCATCACACAAAATGTTTCAAGAGCAAACAAGGAAAAAGACCTAGCGCTAACTTAATATGACCTACTGCCACCTGCAAGGTCATTTACCTGTGCTGAGAGAGAGCATACAAGTTTTTTTCTGGATGAAGGACTTGCACGGCTGGTGGGATCTTGAAAGCTGCAGATCCATGCCTGGCAGCCATGAGCTTTGCTTTGTAAATACATTCCTCCCACCTACCAAACAGCAGGCCATGTTATTGTTTCAGGTTGGGTCACCTGTAGGCAGAGCTGTCCCAGAGTAACAAAAGGTGCAATAATGTGTGTTTAGTTAAATCAGGTAATCATTTAAACCAGCACATTGGAGCTGGATCAGGTTAAGATTGCAATCAATGCCCACTCACTCCATTGCACCAACAGAACTCTTTCAGATTCACTCCTTGCAGCTTCTATACATAGAGTACCTTTTCTCAGAAACTCTTCTTCTGGCCCTGAAGTCCAGAAATGTGACCTGAGACTGTCACAAGTGAGACGTGGTGGCTGGTGTATCACAGTGTTCTGACATGAGTGTTAGGCAAATTCAACATGTCTGCTGGAATGATTTAGCACTCCAGGTGCAGTGATTAGCACACCTGTAGCCTGAAGTTGAGTCTTCTGCTTTCCCAATGTAGACTTTGTTCCACCTATTCTTCATGTCCCACACTCACAGCCCAAGGCAGTGGTTTTGAAAGAACCTTCTGTCTCCCAGCATTGCTCATGAATAAGTATTGTGGTTACGAGCCTGCTAGAGCAGATTTGGTAACTAATGGCATTTCAAATCATCTTGCTATTTTTTGTCAAATGACTATATGGTGCATTTGGCTTGTGCAAAAAGTACTGTTCAGTGAGAGCTGTAACCACTGGAAGGAATATTTTTGAAAGAAAGTTTATATTTCCTAAGAACCACAAAAAGGAGATGACATTTTCCTGTATCTATGAACAACACAATTTGAATAATATATTGTGCCAATAAAGATGTCAAAATCTTGTTGAAAAATGAATATGAAATCTCTGCTTTATGTAATCATTCATATTCCAGGTTTTCTGAGGGACCCAGCCTAGGCTTTAAGATGTATTCTTTGTGGAAGAGAGAATAATTATTATTCATCTCTCTCTCTGAAAATTTAAATCCAAAATACATGCACTGGTAAACAAATTTTCCTGTATCTTTGCTACAGGGACTGAATCCATTGATTATATTAAATGTGAATTGTTTTCCTGACCACTCTCCCACAGTGTGGAGAGCAATTCAAATCATGCTTCCTTGAACATTTAGCAGCTGGCAATTGCTGGTTGCAGACTACCTGCCAAGAAGACACTTGCATACAAACAAAATATACAGTATTATACACCTACTTACACATACGGAACAGAAGACACGTTTATCCCTTCATTAATAAGTACATCAGCTTTCACGGTGGTGGAATGAAGTATCTTCACTAGGGAATTGCTTCAGCAGTAAGTTTACCGCTATTACTGACTTTGCAGGATCCATTTCTTGGAGAATGGACAGCAGCTTCCAGTATCTTTGTCTACTGTGACTGCAACAATAAAAAGAATTGGTCAGATGAGTATTGAAAATGCAGTCCAAATGTAGTACAAGTTTCTACTTTGACCATTCTAGCAATATAGACAGGATACATGTATGCTGTCTGTCTAATCGTCCTAAAGATATGGATTTTCTACAGGCATTAGTCTGCTGGGTGCAAGGAGTAATTGCAATCACATTTATTCTGCAACGGTAGTTTTTTTGCTTATTGCTCCTTTTTATGTCACATTGAGAATACAGCTTGAAAGACCATAGCAAAGCAATACTGTAGCACTACAGTAGGCATTAAAAGGCCATGTAAGTATACAGGCAATTATCGTGTAGTACAGTGAATAGGAAAATAAAACAGCTACGAGTCGGAAGATGGCTAGGAAGGAAAGAGTTTGCCATGAAGAAATCTAAAACTTACTTCTGGAGCTTCTGTACCCCTTCTGAGGCAATACCAAGTCCCTCCTTTGACGGGGGGCCACAGTGATGGAGATATCTCCTTGACAGTACTAACATCAGGGCTTCACCAGTGGTGAAGGTAACCCAGCCCACAATCACATATTGCCAAATTATTTCTTAGTGTTCAGCAACATTCTTTAATATATAGCGGAATTCATTGCACCTGAGTAACTGACTATCCTGGTTACTGCTCCCAGAGGTTCCAGGGTAAGTGTATATAATTGTTAACTTTTACTTTGCCTTTAGCAAAAGTAGCTTGCGTATATGCACAGCACTGCAGTTCCCTGGTCTCTCCCTTGCCCAATTCATCAGCTAGCACAGCTGGTAGCGACAGGATCCAGCCGGCTGCAGGACTGTGATCCTTTGATAGGGAAATATAAACAAAATGCTGTGTCTCCTTGGTACTTTCCCCACCACCTTGACATACACGAGCTAGGGAAGCCACAATTTGGATGTGGGCTGGTACATAACACTGCAACAATCTACTGTCAATAATAATTTAAAAATGGGTTAATTAAATGCACGGTATGAATAGGAAATAAGATTAGAGGTGACACTCAGACCCAGAGGCCTTTTTCAGGCTGTGGAAAAAAATAGAACACAGTAATTTTTCCCACAGCCTGGAGAAGGCCTCATGTCCTAAATGTCATCTCTAATCTTGTTTTCTATTTCTAGTGTATATTACACTGCAGTGCTAGTGCCACTACAGTTAAAGCGATGTCAGTGTTTCCATTATAAACCCCTATATTCAGAGGTTTGCAACTCAACCATAATAATTTTTCTCTGGGCTGAAACTTGGCAAACAAGTTTCAGCCAAACATATTTCATTTTTAATTCCTAAATTTCAAAAAATATTTATATTTTCAAACACAAATTTTGCAAGCCATGAGGCTATACGGCAAACACAAACACATGGAGAGTCTGAAATTCCTCCAAAAGGATTGTTAGCAGCTTAGTGGGATAATTTTAAGTCTTTTTTTTTTTTTTAATTCCAAATACAGATATACTACAGTGGCATTTTCTTTTTAAAGAATTAATAGTTATGCAATCAGGTCAGATAATTTGGTTTTCTTAAAATGTGAGTAAATAGTTATAGGACTGGTCAATAATCTGCATTTTATAAAGGCTCCTAAGTACATGTTTACATGATAAAATGTAACAACACTGCATCGCAGATAAATGAGTCAACAATGTGCTTGAAAAAACTTCGTAAATATGGTTACATGGGCCAAAAATATGCAAGGTTTTTTCACATGAAAAGGGCTTCTGTTTAGCTAAGAGAACCTTATTCATGCAGAAATAATCAGATGTGGTTCATCAGTCTTTCCTTTTCCACGCATTGTCATAATAAAAAAGTTGTATATCTAGTTTGGGTAAGACAGGAAAGATGTGATAGCGACTGAGGTTTGAAGAGCACACTGTAAGACTGTGGAAGAATTACTTAAAGTGAGACTAAGGGGTTCTGGCCAGGATTGTAGTAATATCACAAAATTACGACTACTGGAAAATAACCAGGAGGAAATCCTGCCAGATGACGGAGTAGCTGACAAACACAGGACAGCCCCATGACTAGGAATGTGAGAACTAACACTGAAGCAAGTAATAGAAAAATATATTTGAGAGGGATGGACTTAATGCTTGCATGCAGTTTTGACTTAATTTCTGTGCTGAAAGACACCACCATTTCTGTAAACCAAGACTTTGATTTTGCAATCCAATCTTCACCAAGGAATCCTTTTGGAAAGTTTTCCAGAGAGGAATATCTGATTCAGAATGTACAGATGAAGAGAAAGAGACTGCAGTCATTTTCTTCACCTCATTTTCTTCACCGAGGTCTAAATAAAACTTCTGAATGGTAATCACACTGGGAGCATTGCAAAATTAGCTCAAGGGACAATCCAGAAGTGCTAATAAAATCAGATAACAAATTTGTCTTCATCCCAAACTAGATAGACATCTTTGGTTTAACGCATGTTTGTAATTATCTATTTATTCTGTTGACCTCTATCACATAGATGATTATACTACAATGTAATAAGAAGGAAGACAATTAGCATTACTCTTTTTCATAGCCTAGCTTGAATTTTGTTGTAAATACTGGCATTAGCCCTGCTTCAGGTATTCTCCCTAATTTATTTATTATAGATAACAGCTTTGTAATAATACTACTGTAGCTTCAGTTCAGTTCATGCATTTAGTTTTATGCTTTTGCAATCCCTAGAACAAGGACTGTTAGTTTCACCAAGAATCACTTGAAACCTGGTCCAAATCCTGCTGAGGTGAGTGGCTGTCTTGCAGTTAATTAATTGGGAATGATTTTTTACTCCTCCTAAAACTCCAATAAAATATCCATTAATATTTATGGGGATTGTAAGCACCCATTCCCTTTAATTAAATGGCTAAACCATCTTTCATATCTTATAATTTAAAATAAAGATTCCTGATATATGTATATATAGTATATAAAGTGTTTTCGGCATATATATAAAGCGTATTCAGCATAAACATATTCCAGTGTCTGGGTACTGACAGGAAGCATCTAAACATTACTCCTGTGTCCAAACTACACTCCACAAAGTGTTCCATTAATTTCAGTGAAACTCCTGGAGTCAGGTACAAGATGGACATTAAAAAAAACAAGGCGGGGGGGGGGGATTATTCTTGTATCCATCTACTAAGGGAATACTTACTGAATGTCAGCTACATTCCTGACTCTTACAGGAAATGTTATATCTCTTCATAATTGACCCGGGTTATTAAGTTATAACTGGGTAGCTACTGAAAGACCACAGAAGCTATTTTGGAAAATGTGACTGAAAGCTTTTTTTCTTTGAGAAAAGAAAAATGGAAGACTCTAATCCTAATACGGTACAGAGTGAAAGACATACCTAGGAGATTTCACTCATTTAATATGCTTTAACACAGAAAAGTACACACACAGTGGCCTAAATTCCATTCACCCTTCTAATGCAGCAAACATCACTGGGTTTAAAGGGACCACATTTTTTGATCCTTTCATCTTTTTTTTAATATCTTATTCATAGTTGCAGTCTCAGCACTACGCCGCTCTCAGTTTAATCACTGCAGCTTTCAGGAGGAACCTGAAATGTCTTTCAACATTTAAACATTTAGTTGTCTAAATTTATGATTGTTGCTTTGCCAAGAGATAGGAGAACAAATCTGGGCTCAGTAAGATGGATACCTCCAAACACGCAGTAAACATTCAGTGAATGAAAAGGTG